TTCGCTTAAGAAAAACACCACTCCACATAAAAATCAAATCTTCAAGATTCTTTCCTCAAACTCCGACTTGATATTGATTATTTAATGTCTCCACCAATCTGAACTTATTCAAAAATATCGTTATAAAGAAAACGTTTTTGCACGGGTTACTTCACTCTCACAAGCGCTTTCGAAAAGAAAAACCAAGCATCTTAGTTTCTAAATTGAACCTCACAAAAATATCAAATTAGTACAACAGATTTGAGAACAATCTTTCTTATTTTCAATTTTTTTTCATCAACACATGAATGATCTCGATCGAAAAAACAACTCTGAATTACAAATTCACAAAAACTCACATTCATTTTTGGCAGTGAAAATCCTAACTTGAAATCTTTTTTCTCACAAGAGCTACGAATTTTTCAATCATCCACTCTTCCGAAAATTGTCATCCATTAGAGCAACCTCTAATTCGTTTGCAGGAACATTCATGAAGAAAGAACACTCTAAAAACATTCTCGAACTGAGAAGAAAGACATTTTCAAAAAAAAAAGAATTTGGTTTATTTTTTTTTGAACATCGAGAGAAAGGAAAAAACATTTTTTTTGGAGGAGGATGTGAAATGTGCAACTTTTGCCGGTCTCAAGGTTATAACTTTCAGCAAAAAGGCAAACTTTTCAATTCGCTATTTTAGAAGCTAGAAGAGCAGATCCCAGAATTATATGACGCAATCAATTTTTAATAAGCTTATTATTTTTTGCAAGAATTTCGAAACCAATTTTATCGCAAGCACTTTTAGGTGCCTTACAATATGAGGTACCTGAAAAATTCAAAACTATTACTTCTACCGAACACAAAAAAAGCAATTTCCACTTCTGTTGCTCAATTCAGATGTGTCTGTTTACACCACAACCGTCACTACATACAAAGTGATAAAATGGCACACTTTTTTTTGCAGATCGGACTACTTTTGAGATGTGTGAGCAAGGCTAGCATAAAGTCTGATTGCTATTTACTTCTTTCGCACTCCTGAATTCAACGACAGTAACGAAGAGCTTGGCCAAGCTCAGTTTCTGCATGTTAAGAAAATTCAAAGGTAGTGATGGCAGTTTAGTCAAAAAGATTATGCTTCTGGATGAACGTTTTTTTTTGAAAGATTTCGAGTTGTTTCCATGACGTAATTTTTTCTATTGATTGTGCACAAATCTGTTGAAAAAAAAAACTTTCTTTTACAAAATTCGTTCATCGTCCTGTTTGCATTGACTTTTTGAGTTTGACAACCCGAAAGTGCAATAATTTTTTCTAAGTAATTCACATCGGCTCGTTGCCTCAGCATTTCTGGATAAGACCTGTAATCACACACTCAAACAATGAAGAAGCTCGCAAAATGGTTGTAAAACATGCATCGATTGTAACAGTTCATTGAAAACCGCGCTCATGACTTTGATTCTAATTAATGGACACACTATTGGTAAGAACATTGGAATATAGCAGTTCCTCCAGTTTTGTGCAATTGCACAAACCAAGTCTGCATTACGTTGTTAAACGTAGCAATCAGAACTACAATTACAAATATTTTCAGAGAATATTACTTGTAGCTGAATGGAGATTGTTTTCAGAGAACAATTCTCTTTTAACCGAAACGCTTCGCAGAAGAAATAACTTGCTGTTTGCCAAAAGAAAAAAATCCTCAGTGCTTCTGAACATGTTCAGATATCCAGATTGATATTCTGATCAGAAGAAATGGCCGCATTTTTTTTTTGAAAGGTGATCAGCCGAAGCTGACAATAAGCAATGGAGGCATAGTTTTTTTTTTGTCGCACTGAAAATCATTCTTGGGAATGAAAAAAAACTGTTTAGAACATTTCACGTCACCCAGTTTTTATTTTTCCCTAGAAAAGGATGGTAATGATTCCTTTACAGATTTCAGCAGAATTCAGGAGCAATCACACCATAAAATTATCTGTATTGGATCTGGACGTTGAAGAAACATAGATAGCTTTCTTAGATTGCAAATTAGTCGTGAATTACCACACATGATGTTAGGATCATTTCCCCTGAAGTTTTTACACTTATAACTCAAAAACTACATATCATAGTTTCTGCAGTGGAAACGTTCTGTTTGTATAATTTACTATGCCAAAATGTACTATTAATTTATTTTGTATAACTTGGTTTGCATTTTCATGTTGTCTATGTCGAAAATGGGCTAATGCTTCCAAAAACCACTTTTTTTCAAAAAAAAAAACAATTAAAAAAAGGAAAGATCAGAACATGAACGACATCATGTTTGTTTTGTTCACGAATGTAGTCTTGAATTTGGTCGCAAGACTGCAAGACAATTTTATGCAACTCAGCTTGGAAAAAATCCAACTATCAGAGTTTTATTTTTTTTCTACTGTCGGGATATTTCTCAACGTGAGTTTGTTTACACCTATTTTGCCGCACCGCTGCGATTATCTATAAGCACAAATTTCTTTGAAACGGCAGTTCAAAGAATGGAAAAAATATTTTGTTCTAGGCAGCGAAAAAAAAATTTCCCTTTTCTCTAACACTCAAAATTTGCCACTATGTTGAATTAAACACAGTTTGTTGTGCTCAATTCTGCATGTAAATCTTCTCCGTTTTCTAATCGATCGCATTATTTATATGCTGTATAACCATATGTCACTCGGTTCAAATTATACAATGCCTTATTTTATATTATACTTCCTAAAATTCCACATGTCGCTTAGCTACTTCATGTAAAATATAAATTCAGAATCACTAATGTCATTCAATATCGCCCAATATTTTTGGTTATCTATGTAATTTCTGCTCACCACGCTAATTTTTTTATTAACATGTTCTACAACAAGTGCCCTTCCAACCCATAACTTCCTCGTATCAACATTTAAATACTGGTCACATTATACTCCTAAAATCTCCACGCCAACTATTCCCCTTTGTCAATTTCCGAGATATAATACGCTGTTCACTTCCTACAACTACATGTTACTGCCTCTTCCAAGCAGTCCCCTACGTCACATCGTTCATTCCGTATATCTCTCCGCTTGAGGACAAGCTCGCTCTATACCCCTAGGATGAGGTGAAGGTCGTGTTTGGTTATCCAGTCCGCCTAAGCCAACTCCTCTACTCAATCAAGCAGAAGATAATGGTACCAAATCGAAGTTCCTTATGGTCTCGCCGTAACACGTGTACTCTTTACACACGTAACTCGGAAGACATTCAATAACAGCCGAACAAGCTCGAGGACGAGCTTTCTGAAGGAATGGAGATGTCGGGACGCAGCTAAGCTCCGCCTGCTGCTCTCCCGTGAGCTGGCCGAGAAGGTCAGATAGGAGCCAGTGACCCCCTACGACCGCGTCCCGTAAGGCTGCCTAGTCAGTCTTCCCCCTTCCCCTTTCTTGTAATATATGTAGATAATAAATATATATAATACCAACCTGTACCGCTACACATCAAGCTAGGGCCCGTACACCCCTAGACTTGACAGCAGTTTAATTGTCCGAAAACCCAGCGCTCAAAGTATAGCTCGTAGCTATAGCTAGAAAAATTCTTTACAACAATGACGCTATTCCACATTGACGCAAAACATAAAACAAATGAAATATACCTAGCAATAACCTAAAGACAACTAAAAATTTATTATTCAGCCAGCATTCATCAACATAGCGAGCCGGCACGGACAAAACAAGACGAGCCCGAAGCGATGCTCTTTCTATACATGCGTGGGTCGATATCACATGATTGGCCCCAGTGCAGCTGTATAAATTGGATGGCACTTTTGGCATATAAGGTCTAGATAACGAGAATAACAAGACAAGAAAGGAAATGTGGAAGAAGAAGGGAAACGGGGGGGGGGGGAGAGAGAAAGAGGAGACATCCGCAACCAAAGTAATCTACTCTAATTGGTTTCTTGCGTGACTGCAGCGCAGCCAGCACCTGAGCCATACGAAATGCATTATACTGAACGTTGTCTAAAGGGTAGCATTCGTTCAAAACTTTGATAAGTATTTAAAAACAATAAAAAATACCATATGAAGAAGAAAAGACTCACTCTGCTATGACTCAAGAAAGAAAAATGGAGAAAAACTATAAAACTGTCAAAAAAATACGCTCTCTCACAAACCCAAAATTCGAAGTGAAATTCATAAAGTGAAAAAATCAATCTTTCAAACGTTTGGAAATTATCAAAACCTTGCATTGAAACAGCTCTATTCCCCCCCCCCCCCTCCCGCAATCCATGACCAAATGCATCACTTTTAACGCACACAGCGGCGAAACAACTGACACCCGCTCGCGCGATGCGGACATTCCACTTCCGGTGGTTTTTCACTATCCATTTGAAATTCATTGCAATGTTGAAGGAAGAGGAAGACTTCACTGATTTGATTAGGCAACTCATAGCCGAATGGAAAAACTCAATTAGCGCGCAAGGGATAGCAGTAAACAGAAAAGAAGCAAAAATATAAAAAATCAAAGAAAAAAGATCCAAATTTTTAGAGCCCTAAGGAAGGTAAAACCTGTTCAAAACCGATGACGGAACTTGCGCACTAAATGATGGTCATCTGCCATCTGGCGCTGCGTAATTGAACGGTTAGACATCAAATCAATAGCTCAAGAACTTCTTGTACAGGATCTTCTGATATCAAAGAAATGGGAAATTATCCAGTGCAAACTCTATGACGGAGCCGCGTGCGCTCAATCTCAACTACGCAACACCAAATGCCAGATGCCCGTGATTTACTGCGCCATTTCCCTTCATACTGTTCCGAACAGGTTTACAGGCTATAGGTATGGTGCATGCTAGGAAGCTGCATGATCTATATCATGACTGACCATGTAAAACTCAATCAGATAAGAAAAAGATCAAAAGTGCAAAGAAAAAAACAACAGAGCGAAATAACTCGCCAAAACTTCCGTATGCTATATTCTATGAACTTTACCTACCTCAAATATTTTGCAAACACAAGCGCCCGACAACTGTCACAAAGAGAGAAAGTGTTGGAAATTCGAACCTGAGCTGTGTTGCTTCACGTTTGCTGGCGGCTGTGAATGAGGTGGAGCGGGTTTCGCTGCGAACGACCACGTCACCTGCAAAACGGCGTATTTCATGGATACCGGAGAAAAGCGTTCGGAAAAGAAGTAAATCGAATCACACAAATGAAACACAATCATTTCTGCAATTGCACAAAAAATAAAAATAATGCGGTGATTTCTAGAACCAGGAGTGAGAATTGTGAGAACCTTGCAAAAATAAGAATAATGCGGTGATTTCTAGAAAACCAGGAGTGAGAAGTGTGAGAACTGATTCAAGATAAAAAAAAATAACCCCGACCCTAAAGTACCGCTCTTTCGCAAGAACAAAAGATTTGTTTTCCCCTTCCCCGCGTCTGAACGTCCTTTTGTCTAGCGAATGGTCATGAAAAATTCATGAAAGACTATTAGCGTACCACCATAAAAAGCGACTTTGACCCTCAAAGCAATGCCCCATTATACGTTCACTAAATAGCCCATCAAAAAGGAAATGAAATGAAGAAATCAATTCACTGGCTAAGCAGGGGCAAATTCATGAAGTTAGATAATACAGAAATAATCAATGAAATAATCATTAAGCATGGCATCGAAAGGAAAGTATCATAATGGACGAATCATATGAAAGCAGACAGATATAATGAGCAAGCTTTTGCAAATATGAAAAGGATGAAAAGACGAAGGAAAAATGGAATCAAAACGCAAACATGGTGGTACATGCACCAACACACTTTTGCCTATTTTGAGAGCACTTCATTAGGCCTGCTTTAGAATAGCTCTAGAGCAAACTGCCTACAAATAGATAGATATACTGAAGAAGTAGCATGAAAATCGGGTATCAAACTCATTAGAAGAAAAAAACTAGCTTTTTCAAAAATAATGTCGGCAAATTGGCTTTTGTATGTTTCTAAATGTGGAAGTTGACCGGGCCTGATCCTTCACAAAAGCGGAAATCACATGGTCATTCATGGCTCACTTTTCGATAAATCCAATTCTGCCCAGTACCGTACTCAAAGAACGGTAAGCGTCCTAGAGTACGGTACTGGACGAGAGTCAAGAATGGAGTTCTGAACTACGTGAAGTGTGTAAAGCTCCTGCACACATAGAAAGGAACACATTTACGGAGGCAGGGAAAGTAAAAGATAAGAAAAACGCAAACGTATAAGTGCGCCAAAAAATCTCTGGTTATTTTGAGAACACTTCATTAGCCAGCTTTAAAAATAGCTAAGTAGTCTCGATCCGATTTCACTGACAGAAATAGAGCAAGGAGTAAATGAAGGCTGCGAAACTTTGCAAGAAACGAATGAGATTGGAGATATAAAAAGGCTACTTGGTTGAGAAACCTTGTCCTAAAATGGCTGGATACTACCATACTCAAAAAGAGACTTCGTTGTCTAGGTAACTTCCTACCACAACCTAACCACCAAAATAACCCACTCTGCAATGACTTCCTAAACAACAACTTTGTTCACGTCCCAAGTAATCTCACTGCTGTCAACAACTTTAGAGGGAAATCTCTCCAACTTGCATACGACCCGAATATATGCAAAGCTAAAAATAGAAGCAATTGTACTACGAATAGTAGTTAGCGGAAATTCGTAGTCAGAAGGCGTCCACAAATACGGGGAGGAGGAGGGGGGGGGGGGGGAAGCTCAATGCCATTTTCGTGTCCAGTGGTCCGTGGCACCCTCGACGAACGTACGTGCGTCACAAACAACGCATCTTGGCTGAGACAATGATGACGGTGCGTGTGTACGGGAAAGGCATCGTAAAACGATCCCGCAGCTGCATTCGTTCGTGTCCAATATATCGGCTCCCTCTTATTCTAGGAAAAGATTCTCGTTTGCATCGCACGGGCGTTAATGAAGAAAGCTTTAGATATATTTATAGGCGGTTTTGTATGGTCAAATCGATAAATTCGTGGAAAAGGGTCTCGCAAAGTCTTCTCCATCGCGCCTAAGGCGCGACTGATTGGGAAGGCAAATGAGGTAACCGTTATGCCCAATTTGTCGGTATGCAAATCCGCTTACTCTACCTTCCTGAGCTAATGTGCATTGGCAGGCCTTGACTACGTCGTTGCTCGAGTGGCAGTTCGCATGACTCATTGGTGAGCGACATACCCAAATCTGAATTCTTGCCCATTACCGTAATGTTTGGAGAAGATACTATATGAGCGAGAGTTTGGAGTTGAGTTTCTCCGCCACAAATAAATCGCATAAGCTCCCTTTTGGGCAGCGGTTCAGTAAGGGCTGCCCAATCACTTTGCACATGAGAAACCCACGCATTCCGACCATTCCCTAGTGCTCCCCGAATGGTCGGAATGCCTGGGTGATCAATGACGATCAATGCCTTCAACACATCAAAACAGCACCTAAGACTAATCATAAGCAAAATTCACCTCCCCCCTTGATTATAAGCAAAATTCACTTCCCCCTTCTCCATCCTCCCGCCCTCGCTCCCTCCAAAAGTAGATTAGAGCGCGAAGATAGTCGCACATTTGCGATTGTTTTCCAGTAACTAATTAAAAGAGCATGATTAGATATCTTGATGAGATTGGGCTTCTGACATCTCTAGAAAATGGAGATAGATTCCCTGATTCCAATTGTTACCCTTGAGGCGCTTCACTATAGGATCTTTTGAGCAGCTAATTCCATATTCATATGCAATGACTATTAGATTTGAAACCAAAGACAATAGAGGTCAGCTCTACAGTCAAGACCAAAGCAAATTTAAAGAACACTCAAATAAGAAACTAGCAATTTTCGCATCACCAAATCGAAACGAAAAGTAATCGGTGATTTGCTAATCCGCCTACTATATAGCAGATGAGTCATTTCGTCATGCGTAACATTTGCAAAGGCATTGCATTTGTCTAAGGACAAGATCATAAAACGGATACAGTCGCTATCAATGAGCAGTTCAGCTTCTGCAAGATCTCGAGAACAAAGGTAAATCTCACACATTGCATTCAAGAGCGCAAAGCAATGGGAATGATATTGCTTCTCTAGGTATTGATCGGGACTACGATTTAGCGGATCAGAAGAATGATATCAATTTCATAAACATGGAACATATCCAATTCTTTTCGCCTAAAGTGATGTCAAAACGTTGCAAAATTTTATTTTATCAAAGCTTTTTGACTCAAAAACCATTGAATTTTGATTGAATATTATTCAAAAACTGGAAAACATAATTACTACCGAATTCTTGCGGATTTCGCAAATGGTACCGTTTTTGTATCAAAATTTTCTAACAGCATCATAAGCAGCATCTCTTAAATCATACTAGTATATTTTGTGACTAACGTTAACCATGGAGCGCGAAAACTTCTCACTAGCAATAATGTTGGCGGTAATAACTGCACTCAAGTCGACAATTTGTGTCCTTTGAAATTGCAACAACAAGCTAAACTTCAGGAGCGGAAGTAAACAATGTTGGGCCCTTTATACATAAAGCCAACTGTAGAGATGAAATTTGCCGCGCTCCACAAAAAAAGATCCCTTAAATCACAGCAATCACAGAAATTATAGGGACGAGTACGATCAAATGCTTATCAGGGATCCACATCTATTCTATGATAAAAGTATGGATAATGGAAGTTATGTATGTCACTAGATAATGCCACTAGCAATCTACGTAAGAAGGAAAAGCATGAAAAGAAAATGATAGGGTTTCATTCCAAGAATGGGGAATAAACTGTTACCAGTGAACCAGTAACCGTAAGTTCTAGATTTGCATCCCGCTGAGAAAGCCGCGCGGTTTTCCGCAATCTCATCTTTTTTGTATAGGCAGAACGATTTTTTATATACTGATTTATGGTGCTAGAATTCTTGCACTGCCAAACAACTTTGCTTTCACTTATAGCAAGACATAATCTAGGACCTCTCGATATTTCGAAGAAAAGAACCAAAGGGACATAGAAACCCAGCAAGAATTCACAACGCCTCTTGAGGTGTTACTTTCTCAACGAGACTCTCCTCTGCCGAATATGTTCGCTGAAGCATGGCAGCTCATTGAGACATCAATACGAGGGCACAATTAGATTCGACGTCACATGTAGACCAAGGACGTCTAGGTGAAAGTGATACACTTTCTTCTAGGAGAGGGCTCTTACCCAGGTACCTGTAGATTTCCACAACCTCTACTCAGTACTGTTTTTTTTTCTAAAATCCTGAAAATAACGCCGAACGAGCTTTTTAAGCTAAACAATGATGGAGGGGTTTGCAAAGAATGCAAATACTCAGGCAGGCAAGGAATGGTGGGGAATGCTAATCAGCTCAGCATCAACAAATTTCATGACCTAATCATTCAAAACTCTGAACTGCTTTTTCTATCTCAGGGAACCGCAAAAATACAATATTCCTGTAAGGACGACATCCATAAAAGAAGTGATTAGGCTTTGAGGGCACTTCCCATTGTCATGCGCAAATTCGTTCCAATAAAAGTGATTGCTCAAAAGTGCAAATTCGAACAGCTTCTCTTAGCAAAAGTTGCACTTTTTTATCGCTAGTTTGCAGAAAAGAATATGCGGTATCACACGATATGAGACGATAAGAATTATCAAGTTATGCGAGTGAACTTTTTGTTTTTGGGTAAGAGAGACAATTCTTGAATTTGATAAGATAGGATTCAACTAGCCTCCAAAAAATTCTAAATCGCTGTCGACACCCCATTTTTCCTGTAATTACGACCTATATATAAATAATCGTTGTGCCTATTCAAAAAAGGTGAAATTGCGGGAAATCGCACGACTCCCGCAGCGAAAGCGCCTGCATATCCAACACCTTTAGATTACTCGTTCACTAGTATTATCAAAAATTTGTAGGTTTTCAGAGAAATTTGGGCCTAGCCAATTTCCAATTGAGACAGATTTTTGGCTCTCTCTCTCTCTCTCTCTCTCTCTCTCTCTCTCTCTCCCTCCTCCTCCCCTTAGAAACTTTCTGAGACGCTACTAAGACCCAGCGTCGACTGACCTCCAAGAAAAATTTCTTAGCTTTGGCGATGTTGGCAGGAATCCAAAAGGGTAGCATTGCGCCTCCCTGACAGATCTGCAAAGCTAA